GACCTCAGTGGAGTTAAAACAAGGGATGAATTTGACCCACTGAGTTTGCAACAAAGAAGATCCTTTGGGTTAAATCCTAGGCTAGTGCCAATGGGCATAACTCCATTGACTTTCATGGAGCTACACCAATTTACACTAGTTAAGGATTTGTCCCTTTGTGTCTTCCTATCTAGGTTTTATAAAGGTTGCCCATCACAGTTCAAGATACTACCTCTGGTGGACACTAATACAGTTTTTAATTTATTAAGAAAAGAATCTTATACTCCATCATAGAAGAGCTGCAGCAATAGCTGTGTCTATATTTGGTCACCTGTAGGGCCAAATATAGGCCAAGGGGGGAAATCTATGTATATATAAATAAAATACGTATTTTTTCCGCCTCAGGATATGTCTACACAGCAGCTAGGAGGAGCAATTCCCAGCTTGGTTAGACATATGTGCACTAGGTCTGCTCAGAGCTAGCGCCTAAAAAATAGCAACATGACTGCAGCAGCATGGGCAGCGGATCAAGGGCATAATTAGGACCTTGTATGGAGCTGTATTTGTGTGACTAGCCCAAGCTGCTGCCCCGGCAGAGGCAGCCACACTATTATCTTTAGCACACTAGCTCAAGCAGAAATATTTAATTCATCAGACTGAGCCTTAAAAATGATTGAATTGAAGATATTTAATTGTGATGTACATTTTAAACCCATGAACATCCATTAATAAAAGGCTAACAAAAGGCTATCCATAAATTATGTAACACGTTTTTTGGTGATTTTCAAGACCCCTCATAGACACTGAAACAAACATGCAAAATTATGGACCTGCCCAGCCCCTAATTTATTAGGTAATTTATGGGCAGCCTCCCAAAAGAATCTGAAAACTGGGGGGACGACGACACTTCAGCTTGTTTTTCAAAAGAGCCTGATAGCACACCTGATGCCCTAGAAAATGCTGGGGGAGCCACAGTCATGCACAATGAAAGCTTCCATGTACAAATAGCGGGCCAAAGTCTCCTCTCAATTATTTTCCTGTGTTTGGAGTTGAACTGATGTAACTGAGGAGAATCTGACCCAGAGGGCCATGTTCTAATCTTGTCTGAAGTGGTGTGAATTCAGAGTGTCTCCATGAAAGTAAAACAAATTACTCTACATTTATACCAACAAAATTGCATCAAGTACCCCTTGGAATTTCCTTGGTTCACATCCTGGAATTGCTACAGGTTGGCAACTTTCCCAGTTACTAATTAATTCTAATATAAAAATAACATAACAGTTTTGTTTTGTTTTACTGCAAATGGTAATATACAAGTTTGACATAAAACTAGATTCCTAGCATGGATTTCACTTAACCTAAGGGGAAAAAATTAGTCACGTAATTGACTGAACAGCCAAAAGAATACCAATTATTATTAACTGTCCCCATCAAATAATCTACAGCTTCTTTCAAACACAGAATCATCTTCTGGCCAGTGAAGCAGAACTCCCACTTAAATCAATGGGGTGATATAGGCCACACCTAGACCATAGGTAATATATGTTTCACTATGCTCACCTAATCAACAAATATATTACTTGCAGCCCATAGTTAAAGTCTGCATTGTTTCCATAGACAAATCTTTATTTCTGTCTGATGATGCTGTATTCATCTCTTCACATAGGTCTATGAAGACCTAGACAATGCCTCTGTCTTCCTGACTGGCACTGACATATCTACATAGTTCTCGATCTAGGTCAGACCAATTTCAAGGATCAGTGCCATAACCTCCCATGTTCTACTGTTGTACAGATATAATTTATATTAACCAACTACAGTATATCCTAGGAGGAGTTCCCTAGGTATCCTAGGTACTATTTCAATTACAGACACAAAATGAATCAGAAAAAACTCAGAGCTACCCATCAGTATGACAAATAATGACTGCCTTGCTAACTTCTAGCTACTCCTCACAGGTTTAGTAGTAGACCCTGCTTCTTGATGCTAGCAACAAAATATATAAAACAGTGATTTAAAATAGTCTATGGTTTAAAAATCCTGCCTCTTGCCCCCTTTATGAATCCATAATATTTGTGGGCCATTGCATCATGGTACCTTCTATTTAATTGTGAAATAGGCAACATCTCCTTTAGGTACCAGGAAAGAAAGGCAAAATTACGTTCTGACTTTTTAGAGGGTCTCTGTAGTACTGTAACACTGCTTTGCACACCAGGATGCTCAGAAGTCACCATCCTTTAGTATGATACAGCCTATTCCCACTGGTGTACCTGGCCTATTCAGTACCGTCTCTGCCTCCTCTCCAATCTTCTTCACTCCATCTAGGGTTTGAGTCCTATGTGGTGGGTAAGAGGGAACCATTCCTGGATCAGGAGTGCAGGGACTTGCGTTTATGTCTGGCTGCTGCACAGGGCTACAAACAGGAGAGGGCCCTCTTTTGTGTCCCCATCCACACACAGCAACTGAGTATGATCTGGTCCATACTACTTAATTTCCATAACCTAGGACAGAAATGACTGACATTCACTTGGGTCCTTATCCTGCAAACGCCATGGAGGTGAAATGCTTCTTTTTGTATAGAAGGCCTATACACTGTTTAAGTCCCATGTTAGCCCTCAAAATAAGTCTTACGTTGTGCAAATAAGTCTTACGTGGTAGTCCTCTCCACTGGAATATATTTCATGCAGGGGGCATGGAGTGGCCATTAGCTTCAATAGGAGCTACACACACAGAGTGCTTGCAACAGAGAGCTCAGAGTCTCATTTCTTAAATGACAAAGTGAATTACTCACTACCTAATTAATTTGACCCATAAAATTTGAAACACCTATGATCCATCAGCACGATTTCTACTTAAGTTTAAATGATCAGTAAAAAAGCAAGAACATTACTGAAGGCTGCAAAAGTCATGTAACTTCATAAATTTGGGATCTAACTTCTTGCACCAAATTTCATTAAATGTGGGATGTAACAATAATAAATTAAAGCTTCACAGTTTTCACCATTATCTTTGTTCATAGATATCCAAAATAAAGCACTAAAAATGTTATATTTAAAAACCTTCCCCTTGTACCACCTTCTTGTGACTGGGTATTGCAGAACAGAGTTCTGCTCTGACATACCTTCTGCAGTCACTTCATTTTCATCGAGTATAAGTTCTAACAAAATTTAGCCCTTGCTATGGAATGAATAACCAATGCTTTGTGGTCTCTTTCATACAGGTATAATGGGTAGTGTTAGTGCTTTCAAATCTGACTTTTCTTCCTTGTATGAGTTTAAATTACACTCTTAAAATAGTTCTTCTAGTTTAATTTCCAGTTTTAAAGTATTTTTAAGTATTTCATGGATATGCTATAGGGTCTGAATTTCCTTAGAATCCAATAGCATGTCAATAGTCCCTTTCAGTTTTAGCTGAGTTGTGAGCTTTAACCCTAATTCATATTCATTTATATGCTATAAGAGCTCCTGAGAAGCTATTGCAGAGTATCCTGCAAATACTTATTAACAACAGCACAGATTGCATATTATGGATCCATAGCAACAAATACATACTAAAAATGTGTATGAAAAATAAATATTGTGAATGCATAGTAACAGTTTTTAAGAACATCTCAGCTGTTTTATTTTTAATATCCAAAGTGATTAACACATGATATAAAATAATCCCTTGTAAAACTCATTCTAAAAAGTATTGTAGCTGTGATTGAAAGAGAATTACAGTGAACATCTAGAAAGTCTACTTTATTTTGTCATTCTTAAACATGAACATGAACAGTCTCCTGAGCTCACTGTGGCTCTCCACCTCAAGAACAACATCTTTTCTGTTTCTTTTGAACAAAAAGGTGTTATTTGGAAGCATTTTTAAAACCTAGAAAAAATATTTTTGCACGATATGTCTTCCATACTTGAAAAAATCATACCGGTTTTGGAAAAAATGATGGTTTTCAACAGATTTTAAATGCTAATAACTTCATTTTAACTTAAGCCAACTTTTTTTTTTTTTTTTTTAAGATTCAGTATATCAGAGGAAAAATAAGTACCATATGTCTTGGCAGTTCCTACCCTTATTACTCAACTGTATTAAATAGCTTACTAAAATCCATGTAGTGTATAATTTATGCAGTCTGCTTTTTGCCAAGTACTTCATTGAATATTAGTATTTTTCACATTTAAACAGGGAACTTTGTCTAAAATAGGTACTTTTTCAGGATAGCCATTGACTTAGTTATATTAGTTTGTAGAGCAAAATATCTTTATAAATGTTGTGAATTGAGTTTTGTATAGTGAATTTTGTAACATTATATTTTCCTCTAGTATTAATATTCTGTATATCACGTCTTCTAAACTCATTATGTTCTCTTTTTTTCACAAGAGGTGTTCTCACTTGCAGAGATAAACATTGTATTGCAATTTTCAATAACATTAAAGCTTCTAATAATTGTAAGTCTCAACGTTCAAATAAGTACATTTACCATCCTTATTAATCAGCAGTAACTCTACTAAAATCACCTGTGAATCCACAATTTAAGCTGAAATACTCAGTGTTAGTTTTCCCAACTACACAGTTGTGAGAGTTGCAATTAATTATCTTCCATTATTACTGATCATCAATTAACTCAAAAGGTTGCTAAGATTGTGAGTATGCTGAAGAAGGCAAAATGTAATGACATAATTTGAGATCGGTAGGACAGTAAATTTCTCTCTTGTTAATAATTAAAGTAGATAACTTATGTTTTTATTTATAGCTTCCAGAAATATCCGGCTCACTTCTCTGTACTGCAATATCAGCTAATCATCTGCTTGTCAGGATCTGACTCAAGCACTTGTATTTTATTATTGACATACTCTGTATCACATGAAGCCTTTAATTCTTGCTCATTTATAATACAAAATTTGAAGTTTCTAGTTAATAAAGGTAATCTGTTACTATCTTTGCAGGGCCTCACTACAGATCTGGGTACCAAACATCATAGATTAAAACAAAACTAATTAGCGAGGGCTGAACAAGAAAAAACACATTACCTGTTTCAATTTCCCAAACATAAACTGAATCATCTTCGCATCCAACAATTAGCAGATTTTCAGCAAGGTGCCATTTTATCATCTTCACAGGAAACAAATGCTTCCTGGCATGTAAGAGACATACTCTCTCCTGAAGGTGTAGAAGTGCGACTGAATGATCACTGCATATACAGCACACAATCCTGTGCCCGTTTAGCTGCAAAAACATATCAATAAAAAATAATCATAAAAATTGAATTATTTTTATTGTGGTAGCACCTATGAGCTCCAGTCCTGGACCGGGAGCCCATTGTGCTAGGCACTGTACAAACACAGAAAACAAAACAAAACAAAAAAATTGAATTATTATTAAACAAAACAAAAAACAGTCCCTGCCACAAAATATATTCATTTAGAAACTAGTGTTACATTTCAGCTTGCATCCCCAAAATTGTTTGAACAGATTAACTATAAATCTGATCTCCAAAGGAAAGGTACAATCCAATTCATATGAATTGAATCCTAAAAAAAATCACATACATCAACAGGTGGGCTATTAAAGGAGCAACTATATAATCAAATATACTTAATAATAGAGGTTTTCCCTGGAAATAAAAATTAAAAATTACTTCTATTCTCCTGACATAAAATTGTGTGTCAGTGTTATAATTGCATTTTGCACTGTGTGGATCTGTTCCTATAAAAGCTTTATTTCCACAAGTAATCCTTACTGACACAGGGTGGAATTCACTCTAGGGTAAAATTCACCCCTGTGCAAAGAACCAGAAAAATGCCTAGGTGCCACGTAAATCCAACACAGCCCCTGAAAACAGGGCTTAAGAGATCATGTTACCACCTTTTGCCACAAGGGTGATTTTCACCTAGCGGTGCAGAGGGCCAGCACAAGGCCCTGTGAACCAGTTAAGCCTTAAAACTCTGTGTACATGTAATTTCTGCCCAATATCCTAGTATTTACTCCTGCGGCAAGCCTAAACCACCACCTATCTGAACCACCACCTAGTCTATCATGTCTACCCTGTTGTTTTTAATTAGCTAGCTCGAACAAAGCTAGCGCGTATATGTCTACCCAAGCTGGAAATTACACCTCCAGCTGGAGTGTAGATGCACCATAAATGGACCTTGCTTGGTAAACACGTTATTGCGCAGGCCTTTTGAACTAAGGTTTATTTGACCTTTAAGGGCTAAAATCCTTGCTCCATGGACTTCAGGGGCTTCTCATGTAAGTAAGTGTTTGCTGTAGTGAACCCTGTACATTTCAAAGATGCACAAGAATATTAGAAATTAAATATTACTAGCGCTGATCATTCATTCTGAAGTAAAAGACTGTTTCTAAAGCATCTAGTTAGACATGAGAACAACACCAATAGAAATTTGCTAGGTATCAAAATAACCAAACACCACACATTTATACATAACTAAGTGTTATTGGCCTGATTCTCCTCTCACACAGTTTTTACACCAGTGTAACTATTGACTTCAGCGGAAGCCACTTCAGATTTACACCAGCATATATAAGCGAGAACAGAATCATGATCTATGTGCCCGCTGGCAATTACATTTATTCAGAATTAGTTCTCTCTAAAAATGCCACATTCAGAAAGGAAAGTCTTGATTCTACACTCCAGTTCACCAGGTTGATGACTTAATGGGAACTGCACTGATGTAACAGTGGCAAATCAGACCCCAAAACAGGAAACCAACGTCACACAAAACATAAAGTAGTTAGTAACTGGGAATTAAGTTACAAATAAAATAAAAGTATTACTATATCATTATGAATAAATTGTTACCTCGCCCCACCCTCTAAAAAAAACATCATTTACTCTGTCTTTACTTACTCTGTAGTTCTCTGGTGATAACAACAGGTTCATTACTGGACCAGCTTGCAGAGTGAATTGATGCAAAATTTCCTCCTTAAATATATCCCACCAGATCACACAAGAATCCTGGCCACCTGACACCAGCCAGCTTGGATCAAACCTGACTGATTCACTGTGTGGATAAAGTAAACAAGTAACACTGCTGCGGTGGCCCTTAAGAACTTTGGAAGGCAAAGTATCTGTAAGACAAAAATGTTAGACAAATGATTTCTGCCCTTTACAAAAAAATAAATAAATAAATAAAAGCTTTCAGATTTTTACTATATATGTGCTTGCAGACAGGAAATCTGTACGATGAAATGTATTCAAGAGCAGAGTCAGCGCTAGGCATAAACAGAGTAAGCAATTGCTTAGCACTCCCAGCAGCTCAAGGGAGCCCCCTATTTGCTTTTTTAGTATGTGTTGTAGGCGAGAGGGGGTCAGAAATATTTCTGCTTTGGACCACCATTGGGCTAGCACCACCTCTATTCAAGAGCTCACTCCTAAATGACAGGTTTCAGAGTAACAGCCGTGTTAGTCTGTATTCGCAAAAAGAAAAGGAGTACTTGTGGCACCTTAGAGACTATCCGATGAAGTGAGCTGTAGCTCACGAAAGCTCATGCTCAAATAAATTGGTTAGTCTCTAAGGTGCCACAAGTACTCCTAAATGAGTAACAGTTTTAGGCCAATATAGCCCTTACTCAAGATCAAATTCTTTTCTCTGTGCCACAAAAGGCACACAGATCCACAGCTCCTGAGCTGCTGCCACTCTGTTATATTTTTCCTTTTGGGGAGGGGAGTCAGAGGGGACTTGAGAAATGACCAAAAGGAACACAGCCCAGGATCTGCAGGAGGGAACCAACTGGATCTGAAACCTTCTGCACCTCCCCTCAACTACAGAAAGACTCTGGATATGTCTGCAATGCAATGTCAGCCTAGGGTTAGAAGAACTTAAGTTAGCAGACCCTGGGTTTGTTAACCTAGGGTTTAAGCATCTACACTCATTTGTAACCCCAGGTTAGAAATTGTTGAACCTTGTATCCCAACCTGGGGCACCAGCATCCACACTGCATTTGCAGGCCTGAGTCCAACCAGCTATATTCCAGACTTCCTCGCATAATGTGGCCGCTCTAGTCCTTTGTTCATGGTGCAGTGTGGGAAAACTTGACCGTCCACCAAACTTGAGTGTTCAGAGGAATCGTGGGGTACTTTTGGCAGAATCCCAGAGTCCAGTGGGGCTCTATCCAGTGGGGCTTTAAACATGGCTCCCAGCTAGACTGGGGCTTGGACCCTCCACCCCTGTGGGGTTCTGGAACCCTGGCTCTGAGTCTTGGGTTAGCACAATTTGTGTGCAGACAGAAGAGCGATTAGGCTTGAACTTGAGTTCAAACGCTGGGCTTACATTGCAGTGTAGACATACCATCTGTTTTTTGCAATACATCACAGCCAGCTCTCCTGTATATGAACAGAGCATTGGCTGTGCAGAGCTGGGCTCCAATGCAGGGTTGCAGAGGGGAGAAAAGTGGTTCAGTGCTGGTGGGGGAACATACTCTACCATTTTCCCCTTGGCATTCCCTGATTTTCACCCCAGGGCTTAGGGCCTTTCAACTGCTCAAGTGGAGGGGAGTGTGGGGTCCTCAGTCTTACTTGGGTAAAACTCTCAGTAAGCAGGATTAAATAAAGACTACAAAAAGTCTCCACACATTTTAAAATACAAACAAAACTTAGGACCAGACTCTGAAAATGCTCATGACTAGACATAGTGTTCATGATTCCAAGTAGTCCTATTGGTCCTATTTTCTTGTCAGGCCTGATTCTCCTCTCATTTACAGTAGTATAATCAAGGGAGATTCATTTACACTGGCTTTATTCTGGTGTATCTCCCTTGATTATACTGCTGTAAATGAGAGGGGAATCAGGCCTGATAAGAAAATTCATCACAGTAACAAATCCATGCTCAATTGTAAGTATTTGCACAATAGGGCTTCCACTTCTTTAATGGAAAAATGTGCCCGGAAAGAACCTAAGGTGCATCAACATATGGGCCTCAGAATTAAAAAGTGACCTTACTGTATTAAAAAGAAAAAGAAAATATCAAACCAAACCAAAACACACACCAAGTTTTAAACACCTTCTGAAACTGGAGCAGAGGAAACATTTAAATTATTTCAAGATTGAAATAAAGATTCTTTTATCTATGCTCTGAAATTCAGTATTAAAAAATGTGTTATAATCTAGTATTATTTTTAATTAGGCTTAAAATGACAATTCATACCAAAACAAGCGTGGATATAAAATACCATTCAGAAGAAGCTAGTCAACCAGATCTTGCACTTCTGAGAATTAAAATCAGTTACGTGGATTTGGAATATGTAAATAATTTAAATACAGGGTAACATGACCCATATTTATATTTGACTTACGGTGGCAATTTCTTCACCTGTATAATGAAACAGTGCAAACATATACACTGTACAATACTAAACAAATAATTCATGGCAACATATCCATGAATATGTTGAGAGAGCAGTATAAACATATATTTGTTCCACAAGAGAAATATCTTGAATAAAAAGGAAAGGGCTCAATTCTGCCCTCAGTTTCAAGGCTGCTGCTCTCAGCAACACCACCAGGAACAGGACTTGTGTAACGAAAGACAAAACTGAGCCCTCATGTCCTTACTTCCTGCATCCTTTTTTATTTAGGGGAATATGAAAAGATGATTGATTGAAAATTAGATTAAGTAGAATTGCATTAAAAACTTACGTTTCAGCAAAGAAATGTCTTCTAAAATTCTTGCTTTGGCAGCATGCAAAGCAAGTGTTATGAAAATTTTCCCATCTTCACACCCACACACCAGCTTATCAAGGTTGGGCACATATACGGATGAAGTGACTGCTGCACTTTCGGTACCATCTTTAGATGCAAAAAGATGATCAATAATGCCTTCCGACATAGCACAATGTTTGTCAAAATCATCCTGCAGAGTCCAAGTTTCTGCTATTGGGATCTCTAGCAAAAAGGAATAGTCAAGAATAATTCACATGAAATTTCCAGGGATTCAAAAATTGAGAACAAGTCAGAGAAGTGACTGATTGTAAAAAAATTAAAATAAAATAAATAAAATAAATAATAAATAAAATAAAAATAAAATAAATAAATAAAAAGCACACTTGCCTCTGTGACCACCTCCTCCCAAAGGGCCTGTCTGTCATCCTGTGGTTTGGAATAGTAATTGCAGTTTTTCCACACCAGTTGGATCACATGATCCCTCAGTGGGACAACCTCCATGCACTGGCCTATGTAGGCCCCGCGTGAAAGTCCTTTCCACTCCCCTCCAGACCTATGCATGGCTTGATTGGTGTGGAGAGCCTTGTGTTGGTTTTACAGATCAGAGATGAATTCTAACCTGAATGACTACAGAAGCTCCACTTGCCCGGGTGACTTTTCATGAGAACTGAAGTAGCAACAATGTAATTAAAAATTGCACAAAATATATAAAATTGCCTAACCTTTTGGAGAACCATCAAGCGTCGACACTGGGACATCAGGAATATGCCACAAGGTGATTCTTCCAGATGCTTCTCCAGAAAAAAGGATCTTATAGAAAGGTTCCTTTCTTTCATTCATAAAGCCCATAACAAAAGGAAAACTCTGTGACAAAAATAATAGCAACTAGTCAACTTTTCCGTATGAAAAAACGGATTAAGACAATACAGTCCCTAATTGCAAAATAAAACTATAATATCTGGAAATATATCTGTAGAAATAAAGGGCTGAATTCTCAGCTGTGGCTGAACTTTCCTCAGCCAGGGGCTACTCTAAAGCCAGGGCTGCTCTAAGTTGCACTGGCTGGTATGGCCCTCTTAAAGGCCACTAGAAACCCAGGGACTGCCAGAGTGCAGCACTGCTCTACCCATGCTCTTGCCACAACCCATACACCAGGCCAGGAGTTAATTAGACAGGACGAAGCCAAACATCAAAGAATAAGAACAGAAAATGGGTATATTGTGGATACTTAAACAAAAATAATGCTTTCATTTGTTGGAAAAAATTATCCATAAGCTGCTCTGCCATCACAGTGACCCAATTATTACTAAGCCATATCTTTTGGCTACTTCTCTTCCTTGATGGTTTTTGACTTTTTGACATCCTTCAACAATTATCCTATCTGATTTTATATCACAAGTGTTTGAGGGGAAAAATAAACTAATGGCTATTGCCCTTCACATAAAAATTAAATCTGTCAGGGTTTTGGAAAACTATGCAGCAAAAGTGGTATCTAAAATCCTTAACCCAGCAACAAAAAGGAGGGACTATTAAAAACCTCACACAAGCCCATGTATTTAATAGTGCTTTTGGTGGGGTACAAATAAAAATATGCCTTTCTCTCACAATCCTGAAAAATGGTTTAAGGGCCTGATCCTGGTCCACTTAAGTCAACATCAAAAAACCAAAACTGACTTCAACGGGAACAGGTCCCACATACTTTTTGATAGCCAAATTATAAATAAGTAAAATTCCATAAGTACTAAATCTTATCCTTGGTCCAAGGGTTGCTGTTCTTATTCAGACAAAATCCCTGTTAAAATCAATAGGGTTTTTGTTTTTGCCAGAGTGGGCACTGAAGTAACTGATCCTTTATTTGTATCTTTCAATCGCTTAATTTCTGTTCATTCAACCAGCCATTATCTCTCTAGTCACACAGAGAGGAAAACAACCATTCAGATGTATTCTTTCCAATAGCGGAGTTCATTTGAGTCACCTGTTGTCAAGCTAGTAACTAGTAAACTTGCAACGGGCACACCTAGGCACACATTTACAACTGGAAGTATAAGGACTCTTAATCCATCTGATTTTTCAATTTCCTCTGTACAGCCTTCCCTAAACTTTAGGAACAGCTTCTTAGGCCTTAGGTGCCAATCCTACAAAGACTTACACATGTGCTTAACTTTACACACTGCGTACTGCCAGTAAAGTCTGCTCACACTGGAAAAAAGGTCACATGCACAGGTCTTTGCAGGATCAGGATAGGAATCTCAGTATAATGTAATGTGTTCAAACACCTGATTACAAACAGTTTGTGGTGAACGCATTTTGTAATGAACTAAGAGAGTCCTTGGGTCCAAACAGTTATGCATGTGTAGTCCCACTGACTTCAGTAGGAGTATTCACACAAGTAACTTTTTGCAGGATTGAGCCCCGTCGGTTCAAGGAATTCTAAATATTCTAGCTTGCCTTTTAAATTGTAATACAAATTTTGTATATTAACAAAAAAAATCCCAAAAAAGAGCCTTTTATAAAATACAAAGTATATCATAAATTCACCATATTTGAAAGTCAGAATCAGAATCAAGGAATAAGCCTTATTTATTATATCAATATAACTAAACCAAGTTTGACTCAATGCCTTAAATGTCCAGTTTGCTGAGAGTCTGTCTGGTCATTACAAGCAAAATATGAAGCAACTTTTGAAGCTCACTGTACAACATTCTCATGTTACCTTATTTTCTTTCACATAAGTGGAGCAGAGTAAATGAGGATAAACAGTTTCTTTGAGCACTTTTCCATCAGCAGGATATATGCTTTTAGAATGTCCACTGCATAATTAAAAAGAAAATCAAATGATTTAGAAATTCGTCTTTTTAAAAGCAGAATTTAATGTCCAAGATTCTCAAGTTCAGCTAAAGTTGCTGGGTAAGTAATTACAAGTGATTTCTTTTTGAAACCACAGCACCAGCTGCCCAATTTCTACATGGCTAATCTTATTCCTGTATCCCCTGCTGTGTCAAACAAAGACTGAGGGCTGTCAAACTCAGGGTAAATCTTCTTGTGCCAAAGTGTTTTTGTTCTGGTTTTTCATCATTTGCGACATGCGGGGATTTTCCATAATAAACCTCCCAAAAGTTCATCTTGTACCTGAACTTTTTGTGTTCATTTTCAATCTGAGCCCACCTGTTCAGCAGCTGGTAGATGTAACTGTGACCATCTTCCATCCAGATGATGAGTCTCTGAGCAGCTAGCACTTCACCACCAGCAAAGCACTGACCACTTTTGTTGAATTCAGTGCACAGCAAGGAAAAATCACAATAATCATAGACCTAAAGACAGAAAAATGATAGATAAACATAAATGAATGCTATAATGTGTTTCCTGTTGACGATTTCATTTTAATACAAACACTGGCTTTGAGCAAAGATTCAGACAGTAAAGTATTTATGAGACTGTTTTTATGGTGTACATTCAGACTACCCTATTAAATTCAATGGGGTTACACTTTTGTTAAAACACAGTCAGATCAGAATCAGGCCACATGATTCCAGGAAGAAAAAACTGCCAATTAAAATTGAAACAACATTAAAGGCTTAAAGGTAGAGTTACAATCAGGGGGTAGGGAGGAGGCAGGGGATTTGCTTTGTTTGTAGTTACAAAATTCATCCTCTGTATAACTACATTGAGTTCAGGAGTGAATATAGCCCATTAGAACAAGACCTTCAAATTTCCTCTTGGGAGAACTTTTACATTCCTCTGTTAATATTATTTAAAATATTGACAGGTCTCCTGGCATGATCACACTATATGTTTAGCTTCTTTAACCCAACACTGTTAGATCCACCCACAGTTCTGTCATCTGGGACACACATTTATTCTTCACCACAGATTAATTTCACCACCAAAAACAAAGCACGCAAACCCACACCTTTCCAGGAGTGCATAGCAAAAGACGGCTATCCCACTCCCAGCTCCTCTGAAAACACATAGGCTGCTATTCCACAGGGCCTCCTCTCCTGCAATTGCAGGAGAAAGTAATGGGGTGGACGGGGGGCAGCATGTGGTATGGTCTGCTTACTGTCTTTCAGTGGGACTTAGGAACATAAGTCACCTTTGAAAATGAGACTTGGACACTGCAATACAGAGCAGAGCATAGCATTAAATACCTTTTAAAAATCCAGGCCTTTATCATCTCAGCTATGCAATTAAGATAACTGGTGAATAAATGGAGCAAGCAGTTTCCTCTGATACCCCAAATAGCTAGTGAGCACTGTTTCATTTGATTGAAGGAGAAAAACAACTACTTACATATAAAATCAATCATGTTCACTTTTCCAAAATTCTACTGAATTCCTAATGATGTTATATAGGAAGCATTAAGTACTATGTGTAATGCTGTACCTTCCAACAGTTTGCAAGCACGACTAAGAGGAGTCTTTCTGTGTATGTGCAAAATCTTATTGCTTGGCAGTTTGTACAGTCCAGAGACTTGGATTCTTGTTCATACACACTTTGCCTCTCCTAGATATTAGAAAGAAAAGTAGTAGTATTAGACAAACAAGATATTCTGGATCTTCAGGCTATGAATTTCAGGAAAGAAACCAGCTATTAAAAACATTTTGTAAATACAGACTTTCAAAATGCAATGCAAACTGTAACTTTTCATTAAACAGTGTGTTGCAGGGGGGGATTCATGGCCCCCGTAGAGATGATGGGCATTCTGTGGGGAAGAGCATAGGCAGCATTGATAGATCTGCCACTATGAGGATGCACTAGTCATTGCTCAATGTAAAGCCAACAAAGCCATAGCAGTCTATACACTTGCAGTTTCAGATGCACAATGGCCAACAGGGGATTCTTTTCCTACAGCATAGCAAACAATAGTACCAGCACCTGGTTGTATGCTCGGTAAATGATCTGGACTTAAATTAATACTTTCCCACCACTTTTAGGTGTCACTATATTCCTAACCTTTTGGTTTTCAATGCATGAATGGCTTGCAAAAGAAAAAAATCCTACTTTTTGCCCTTTTCGAGGTGAATATCAAAGGCTCACTATCGAGGCTGACAGGCCCAAAATAGTTCTGTTGGAATTATTTTTTATTAATTATTGATCACATCACAAAAAACTGACATTTTCTGCCTTGAAACAATCCCCCTCCCATCATCAGTCCTCTGCAAGAAGGTCTACAGTGGTCAGACAATCTCAGCTGTTAGGTTAAAAGCAAAACAGCCACTATCACAGGCAGGAATGTCATGGCATCCTCTTGCTCACCCTTGCAGCTCCAGGAGGGAATTACAATTGATGAGAATTGTGCTCTCTAGGTATTTGAAGGAGTTGTATTCTCACTAACTCTGAACCCCTCCCATCTCAAAGGGCAGAAAAGTAAAGGGTCAGCATAATACCCACGTATGCTCGCGTTCTGTTTGTGACTGGTGGCTGCACAGTCACTCAGCTTTAACAGCAACAATTTCAAGGCTGCAGTAGCACTAGTTATCTAGGACTGATACACTGAACGGAAATGTTAAACACAGACTTTTTATAACAATGAACACGTTTTTAGAAGTGACATCAAACCCGACAGCATCTCTTTAAGGTTCTGATCCTGTCAATTAATATGCATCTCCCATGAAGTGCTCCTACATTAAGGTACTAATATAGCTAAGAGTACTCTGGAGAAAGGAAGTGCTGAAAAGGTTGCTAGTGTGGCTAAAAAGGCAACCTTCCTATTTTAAGAAAAAGATTATACAAATTTGAGTTCTTTCTTAGTAATAGTACTAATTTTTTTTATATAAACAATATAAGTGTTGTGAATCTCATTGCCACAGGAAGTTGTTGGGTCAAGAATTTAGCAAGATTCTAAAAGGAACTGGACACGGATATCAAGAATATTCAGAGCTATAATAAACAGCAACAAAAATTTTGGAAGGGATATTAAATCTCATGCTTCAGGATTTAAGTCAATCCCTATCTATTAGGGACCGAGATTTGAACTAGTCTGGGGGCCACATCTGTCTACTGCAGGGTTCTGACATTTTCCTCTGAAGCATCTGTTTCTGACCACCGTACTAGACTAGATGGGCTTATGTCTGCTCCAGTCTGGCCATTTCTATGTTCCTGTGTGCTTACAAAAAGCAAGAAGTTGAATTCATCCACATTTTAATGCTATTGATGTCAGTGGGGTTACACCATGGATTAATTTGGCCCAAACCATCAAAGTCCTTGGCCTAAAGTACTTTCAGATTAAGTGGGACAAAAGAAAAGCTAGGACTCCAGTTCCAGCACAAACAGGTGTCAGGGCAGCTTTGGTAAGAATATTAATATTCATAAACTGTACACAATAAGTAGACTTGAGGAGAGAGGGGACACTTGACACAGGGTGGGTGAAAGGCTGTTCCAAATGAAGAGGATAACATGAAAGAATATGAAAAGTAGATAGTGGGAGAAGGAAACAAAAATAGTATATTGGAGACAGAAAGAAGGACTAAGAGAGCATACAGGTAGAATTATGCAGAGCTTTGAACATAATGTGGAAGGAGGGGAAAAAGGGGTTTAGAGGAGGGAGTGACAAGAAAGGATTATGATCTTAGCATCAGTGTGGAAGAATAACAGGCAAGATGTAGGAAAGCCAGAAGATGATGCAGGAGTCAAGGCAAGAGATGTACAAAGACATGGACTCATGTTTAGTGGAGATAGGAAGGATGGATTCTAGGAATTATATTGAGAATGAAGAGATAGGGCTTAGTAAGAGCCTTAGCTTTTTCAACAAACATGCTTGCAAAAATAACTAACTCTGTTTAATACACATTCACAAGACAGTATGTTCAGATTCCGTGTTTTTGTATCCTGACAATACTTCCATGTTCTCTGTGTTACATTCCTGTTTTAAGTTAAGACTTAACGTTTCATGCAAACTGACCTGTATACTGGTCACTGATGAGGATAGATCCCATACTTTAAGATCTCCAGTTACAGATACTGCTACTAGTGAATCTTCTATAAAAAGGAAATACAAAGCTGTTCAATATGAAACTAAATTCAAGTCACTGTGACTTGAGCCGAATGAGAACACAAGTACCACCAATGCTCTCTTACTGCAAACTGTGGAGCTCTGTTTTGAAAATACCAACTTTAGTCTTTTGGATCTGGTGCTCCAGACTGTACACACAAAACAGAATGTCTAATTTGTATGTGCAGCCACTGTATTGTTCAGGGAAACGGGGTCCTTGTATACAGAAATGCTCAACCATGCGCTTAACTATCAATCTCATGTGCAAATAGGATATTTCATCAAGGTAACTGTGTGAGCAAAATAGGTGAGCAAAATAGGTGAATAATTGCACAAGCACTTTGTTAATGCAACTGCACATAAACACTTTTGAAAATCAGGCCCTGCACACACATAATCATTTTCACAGGTAGCCTTTTAATTGAGCTAATTATAAGCAAAAAGTGTAAGAAAATAATTCTTTCCAGCTCTCAGGTTTCTGCTTAAGAAGCAAAATACAGTAATTTAAGTCTGATTGACATTAAAATTTAAATGTATCTTGAAGTTTCGATACTGAAGTATTTTACATCCTGAACGCATTTGTGAAACATAATATATTTAACTAACTATAATTAAAAGATGGCATAGAAAGAATCTTTAGGCATTTGCTGCTCATGACTGGCCATCTTACATACTAATTTCAAGACATGACTGGCCATCTTACATACTAATTTCTGCATGTCACTACTATATGTACCTTGAATCCTTGTGGAGTGAACAATGCACATGCAACTGATCCAGTCAGAAGACTGAAAAGATATTAAAGTGTGAAGAACTGCCAAAGTCTTAGCATCAATAATGACGACATCTTGATATTGTCCACAACACAGAAGCCAGCCATCTCCTGTCATTCGGAAGGAGCAACGGTAATACTGTCCAAATGGAATTAAGCAAGAAAAGGTTAACAGAGAGAGCTACACAAAGTTCTCTTGCATATTATTTCTGGCTTTCATACACATCATTTTTTTAAATGTTAATTAACAAAAACAGTATTTTAAACACATTAAAACTTATTTTTAAACTGCATCAGAATCATACTGGTGAGCCAATTAATACCTGTATACAACTCTGAACAACCAGAAAAAGAAGCTCCCTGCTTCATCTCATGACACTAACATTCTGAAATGTATGATGGGAAGATGAAATTAATGCAAATGAATGCTTATTGAGGAGGCCTCATGCAGACATCACATCACACCAGAGCTCTATAATCTATATTAGCTATTAAATTCCTGGTGGAGTTAAAGGGGTTAGTTTTACCCTATAAAACCCTAAGTGGGTTTTGGATTTGTTCATCTGAGAGACCTCATCTCTCCCCATCCACAAGACACTGCTGCCATTCTGATGGTGCTCTAACCTAAAACCCACCAGTATGAAAAAGAAGAGGCCTGATGGTAGGTTATTTTCCAGGAGGGATTCTCAACTATGGAATTCACTTGTTTAAAAGGAGGCCAAATTTGTTAGTATTCAGCACATTTTTGTTTTTTTAAGTGTCTGAGGGTGGGGTTGGCTATTGGGTGGTGGATGCGAAGTAGCTAATGTGGGTGTTATTTTGGGCAAGTATTATTATGGTATGCATGCACAGTTGGATTGTGTGTGATTTTTATTTGTAATTCTATGTGTAAATGTTGTAAAAATGCCTAGGGCCTGGGACTGCTGCTTCAAATGGACTCTAAATAAATAAAGTTGTCAAAATAAATTGAGTGATCATGTACTAGCATGAAAATATACTGCTGAATTATACTTTTTTATTCATTGTTGCTTAGCTCTATATACTTTCAGTTTTGGAAACTTAATCCATTTTGTTACAGTTAACTAAATAATATCTGAAAATTATAAAGAGTTACATAAATAACAAAATGGAAAAAGATATACACAACTACACAGCACAAAGAATGCATATCTGGAAATATTATCATAACTGTAAATGTTACTTTGGCTCCATAGAAACACAGCAACAATGCTTTCAACCATTTGTAGCTACTGCTGTTCTTTAAAAAAGCAGCTTTTAACTGGCAGATTTGGACAGTCAGTCCTGTAGGAAGAGAAGATCTCACATTTACTTAACCACAAATGATTAAAAGGCCTGTTGCTCCTTGTGTTCAAGTTTCATGTAAAATGGCAAATGTTCACTTTGCAGTGTCCTGACATCTGCCATTTTCTGCTGAGGCATACATGAGTACAGAAGGAACCTACAAAACTAGATTTGTGAAATGTTAATTGGCAATCAAACAACATTTTTCATGTGCTGATACCATCAAAATCGGTATATGTCGGCACCCATCTCAGAGTAACCTCGTGTAGGTAGTAATGCTCTCACAAATACTACCAGCAATCAGTACTTCTGGAGCAGTAATACAAGGTAGTACTCACTTTTGAAGGCTGTTCTTTTAAGAATGATGATTCCTGTCCTACCTCCTTCCCCTCCACCCCCAATTTTCCTCTCAGATACCCATTTTCTCCTTTTATCATCTTTTCAATGTCTCCACATACCTCCTAGTGAGGGGTGCTAGTCTTTCCTGGAGAGGAGTACGTTATTTCTCCTGCCCTCCCAAGCTACCTGGCATTGAGAGCAAGGTATAAGGACTGTACCTTTGATCTCCTATAACAGCACAATGGACTGGTACTAAACCAACATGCTAGCCCACATCTCTACCTCTTTTTAGTAGTTCTCTAGCTCCTTACCTCTTTACCTCTAATTGAGCCACACCCCGCAGCAGAACATATTGAACCCACTGTTACAACATTATTGCTGTTGTATATGTATGGTAATATGAATTGTTGAGGAGTGATTTTCATTACAATATGGCATACAGACCCAAAGTCTGTTGATAAAACTATAAAAGTACATTTAATTGTTAATTGACAAGTTGAAGAAACAAGGTCATTTAAAAACTAACATTGATATTTATGCTTCAGTCAACCAGGCAAACCAAAAAAGTTGCATGGAAACAGTATTACCTCTACAAGCTTTGAAATATTTAAATTTTCCAGTAGCTTGGGAGTCTCTAAAGTTCTAAAGCTCTAAAAAGTTCTCAGACTTTCAACACTTGCAACCTAGACTTCCACACTCAAGAAAAAGAGCATTTTAATTAACTTAGGGGCCCTCAGCAATTCTTTCATGAACACATCCAGAAATAAACCAGCAGCTCTCTGAATCAGAGCCACTCCTAAATCATACACATACATATTTCACATACCCCTTGCTCTCTAGCATCTAGGTACTTAGCAAGTACCTGGATATACTTCAAAGCAGAGACTTGAAAGGGAATTGACTGAAGAAAGATTTAAAGCAATTTGACATCTAAAAATAAGGTTACTACCACTGAGCTCTGTCATGAAAGAAAGTGCATTTTTGGAAAGAGAACCAAGTATTTTCCTGGAGGTTAGCAGCTAGGCAATCAAAACCCTCCAACTAATCTATCTAAGTTTAAAAGTAAGATCACTAGCAAACTGTCTTACAAAATGTTTGGCTATAGATTTGCATTTACCCATTTTCAAGACAGACGACCTTAAACTAACATTTTCCATGTTGCCCTCATGAAGGCCAAAACAAAAACCACAAGAAATGGCCTTACTGTGCATCAATACCTGAAGCTCAAATGTCACAATCAATAAATATATGGATATTACTTTCTAGAAACATTAGTGGCTGAAAAAGAAATGCTTCTATTTGTCTGAGAAATAGAGGTGAAATACAAAGCGGAAATTTTTTTAGTTCATTTCCCAGGTGGAAAATGAAACAGGAATAAATAATAAATGGTAAAATGCTACATACACGGCAGCAAGATTTTTGCTCTCTATGCTTTCTTCCTTATGAAGTATGTTACATTCATAAACAATTTTAAAACATATTTCCCCAAAATCAGAGATGTAATAAATAAAATAAGAATAATGAATAATGTGCAACTCACATTGTAAAGCACTGAAATATTCAATGAAAAGTTGCTATACTTACACAGATTGCTGTATGCCTATAAGGAAGGTTTGCACTGTCAATGCACTGTCCACTAGTGACATTCCAAACACACATCTCCCTGCCAAAGATAACTTCATATTACTCTCTGTCATTTCCACTCAATTGGCTGGAATAATTTTGTGCCACCAAGTTTTTCTTTAGTGCTGCACTTTTGTGGCTTTTTGTTACAGATTACTGGGTAAGAAAATGTTGTGGTCATTAGCAAGGGATGACATACTGTAACTGTTTCTTTTTGTTTTGGTAATTACACCCTGCTGCCTTGCAGCAAACCCTACTTTAAGGCTAGGTCTGGCCTACAACAAATTGTAGGTATACTGCCATTATGGCTCATCAATGTGTCACCATAACTATCATTCGCTGGAACTACATCCTGCTGAAAATGATTCATTTCACTGAACTTAAACTACACATTTTGAAAAGAATAATGCATCTTCTACAGCACCCGACTTTAGTTCTTGAGATAAGCTATCATTTTCTGTTAAGAATAAACAGTGCCACCATGAGGCTGTTTCTAAGGCTATTTCATCTATACAATACAGCATTTCATATATCTATTACCTAATCAGTAATAAAAATCAAAGGTTAATATTTTGACAACAACCTTTCAAATATTTTTGTATGTTAGCCAATGTACTTTACTTAAACCATATTCAACATGCTTTGGAACTAATGTCTAGTAGTTGTACAATCAAGTTTACCTGGCAAGTGAAACCCTTATGAGGTATCAGAGTAGCAGCCGTGTTAGTCTGTATCCGCAAAAAGAACAGGAGTACTTGTGGCACCTTAGAGACTAACAAATTTATTTGAGCATAAGCTTTCGTGGGCTACAGCTCACTTCATTGGATGCATGCAGTGGAAAATACAGTAGGACGATTTTATATACACAGAGAACATGAAACAATGGGTGTTACCATGCACACTATAACGAGAGTGATCACTTAAGGCGAGCTATTACCAGCAGGAGAGCGGGGGCGGGGACGGGACCTTTTGTAGTGATAATCAAGGTGGGCCATTTCCAGCAGTTGACAAGAACGTCTGAGGAACAGTAGTGGGGGGAAATAAACATGGGGAAATAGTTTTATTTTGTGTAATGACACATCCACTCCCAGTCTTTATTCAAGCCTAAGTTAATGCTGTCCAGTTCGCAAATTAATTCCAATTCAGCAGTCTCTTGTTGGAGTCTGTTTTTGAAGGTTCTTGTTGAAGAATTGCCACTTTTAGGTCTGTAATCGAGTGACCAGAGAGATTGAAGTGTTTTCCAACTGGTTTTTGAATGTTATAATTCTTGACATCTGATTTGTGTCCATTTATTCTTTTACGTAGAGACTGTCCAGTTTGACCAATGTACACGGCAGAGGGGCATTGCTGGCACATGATGGCATATATCACATTGGTAGATGTGCAGGTGAACGAGCCTCTGATAGTGTGGCTGATGTGATTAGGCCCTGTCATGGTGTCCCCTGAATAGATATGTGGACACAGTTGGCAACAGGCTTTGTTGCAAGGATAGGTTCCTGGGTTAGTAGTTTTGTCGTGTGGTGTGTGGTTGCTGGTGAGTATTTCCTTCAGACTGAGGGGCTGTCTGTAAGCAAGGACCTGCCTGTCTCCCAAGATCTGTGAGAGTGATGGGTCATCCTTCAGGACAGGTTGTAGATCCTTGATGATGTGCTGGAGAGGTTTTAGTTGGGGGCTGCAGGTGACAGCTAGTGGCGTTCTGTTACTTTCTTTGTTGGGCCTGACCTGTAGTAGTTGACTTCTGGGTACTCTTCGGGCTGTGTCAATCTGTTTCTTCACTTCAGCAGGTGGCTATCGTAGTTGTAAGAATGCTTGATAGAGATCTTGTAGGTGTTTGTCTCTGTCTGAGGGGTTGGAGCAAATGCGGTTGTATCGTAGAGCTTGGCTGTAGACAATGGATCATGTGGTGTGGTCAGGGTGAAAGCTGGAGGCATGTAGGTAGGTATAGCGGTCAGTAGGTTTCCGGTATAGGGTGGTGTTTATGTGACCATCGCCTATTTTTTTCTCTCCTGCTGGTAATAGCTCACATTAAGTGATCACTCTCGTTATAGTGTGCAAGGTAACACCCATTGTTTCACGTTCTCTGTGTATATAAAATCTTCCTACTGTATTTTCCACTACATGCATCTGATGAAGTGGGCTGTAGCCCACAACAGCTTATGCTCAAATAAATTTGTTAGTCTCTAAGGTGCCACAAGTACTCCTGTTCTTATGAGGTGTGTCAAGTTGTCAGAACTTGGCAGCTATGGGCCAGTTCCACAAAGGTATTTAGGCTCTTAACTTCCATTGATTTGAATGGAAGTTAGATGCTTCTATATCTTTGGGAATCTGGGCATACAAGTTAAGAAAAAAAAATCTACAGACTGAGTTAAATAAATGGTAACCATTATTCTTTCAGCAATTTAACCAAACATGTTATGCTATTCAGAAAATAATTGTTTCACAGTGTTGTCTGGAAGAGAATATATTAGGTTCACACTGGAAAAGTAAAATCTCTTTATTAATATATCAGAAAAACAATTTAGAGATTTAAACTTCAACTGACACTGTTAATTTCATGTAATTGGCTAATCCAAAATGATTTTCATGTTTATTTACTACTGTGTACACTGTAAATAAAATCTGCATGTGCTATGTTCCAGGAAGTTAGCTAAACAGAATGCTTTCTAATAATCATTGGCTGGTGGCCAAATTCTTCTCTTATTTACTCTGGTGTAAATGAGGGGTAACTCTACTGACTTCAGCATTGGATATCTACAGTAATGTAACTGAGAGCAGAATTTCACTCACATTTCCATATTTTCTGCATGTTGCTTTGAAACAATAAGAGTTTGTTTTCTTCATACGACTAGGTGGAGAATAAAACGTTATAAATATTGTATCATGATGCCTTTTTTCTCTGACCAATACTGTTCACATCAGTGGATACATGCAGGTGGAAATATAAATCTTAACGGAATAAATTCAACATTTCCACACAAAAAAGGACACTAAGAATTTCCCATTATGAATTTTTCTAAGGAATGTCAGCGACAGAAAAGAGGAAAGGCCCTGACATTTTTAAATTGAATTAGAGGGAAACTTGATCTTTCTCCATGCAATGTTCTTAACCACAATCCAAGAAGACAGAAATCTGAAAGTAGTAAATGGACTGATCCACAGCCCAGAGTACACAGTCTGACAAAGCTTGCCTCTGCTGAAGACGAGGCATCCTATTTGTAATCATCCCAGCTTCATATTGCAACCTTCCAGAGCTCACTGGTGAATGTCTTGCTCTTATATGGTGCACCATATAAGTTGCCAGTAGTTTTGTCGAGTGAACATTTAAAGGGTTCTGAAGACCATTTGTCCTTATCTATATGTATCCCAGATACACAATACAATCCATCCAGTAGTGATCTTTCATTGTTTCTCCAAATAACATATACATATGAGAACACTTTTAGTCTTTTTCTAAGTTAATTTTTACACATATATAGTATTTAAGCAACAGAATACTTTTCCCACTTAAAACTGTATAGATTAGGGCCAGAAAAATGGAAGTTCAGAATTAAGATGAAAGTTAGCCTCACTTTCAGTACAATGGGCAGGATCAACTTTGGGAGAGTAGGGGTGCCATAAATATAAAGGAAAGGGTAACCACCTTTCTATATACAGTGCTATAAAATCCCTCCTGGCCAGAGGCAAAATCCTTTCACCTGTAAAGGGTTAAGAAGCTAAAGTAAGAAGGGTTAAGGGTTAAGAAGCTAAGGTAAGAAGCTAAGGGTTAAGGAGCTAGCTGGCACCTGACCCAAAATGGCCAATGAGGGGACAAGATTCTTTCAAATCTGGAGTTCGTGGGGGGAACAAAGTGTTTGGGCTGTCTGTGCCATGCTTTTGCTGGGAACAGATCAGGAATGCAAGCTGTCCAACTCCTGTAAAGTTAGTAAGTAATCTTGCTAGAATGTGTTAGATGTTCTTTTGTTTAATGGCTTGTAAAATAAGACGTGCTGGAGGGAATGTGTATTCCTGTTTTTGTGTCTTTTTGTAACTTAAGGTTTTGCCTAGAGGGATTCTCTATGTTTTGAAGCTGATTACCCCGTAAAGTACTTACCATCCTGATTTTACAGAGGTGATTCTTTTACCTTTTCTTTAAATAAAATTCTTCTTTTAAGAATCTGATTGATTTTTCATTGTTCTTAAGATCCAAGGGTTTGGGTCTGTGTTCACCTGTACCAATTGGTGACGATATTATCATCAAGCCTTCCCCAGGAAAGGGAGTGTAGGACTTGGGGTGGATATTTTGGGGGAAGACATCTCCAAGTGGTCTCTTTCCCCGTTCTTTATTTAAAACGCTTGGTGGAGGCAGCATACTGTTCAAGGACAAGGCAAAGTTTGTACCTTGGTAAGAATAAGCTTAGGTGGTCTTTCATGCAGGTCCCCACATCTATACCCTAGAGTTCAGAGTGGGGAAGGAACCTTGTGGTGCATAGAGTGGTGTTACAAGGTGGCTGGTCCCTTTAAGAGGAAATGGGACCTCAGCCCACCTGTGCCCAGATCAGCTCCCCTCCCCAGGTGGGTAATAATGAATGAGATAATGAAGTCATGGGATTAACTCAGGCCAGACCTTGGTTTATGAGAGAGGAAGGGATGAACTCCTGGAGTAGCTACTAAGGGAGCTTGTATGCGAGCTGAGAACACTCTAGGTAGGAGGATTCGGCAGGACAGAAACCTGTAGCTGGCTTGAGGAAGCAGCTGCAAGGAGCAAGACTGACTCCTGCATGAAGTAAAGGACCTGAACCCAACTTCAAGATGGAGGACTAGGGACTTCTAACTCAACAGGAGAAAAACACTGATCTGCAGTTGAGACTTTGAGGGTCCTTTATTTAGTGAGGACTTATACCTCAGAAGGGGAATGTTTAAATTACTGTTGGACTGTGAGGGTGAGTTATTGATGAGCTCTGTGAGAGAAGGGAAATGGAGGCAGTTGTGACATTCTATACCTTGGGGGAAGAGTCCTGTAACCCTCATATTCCTCATGTACATATAAAGCATTCCATGTGAGGCATCAGGGGAGAGGTTATGAACTGCTGAAACCCACTGTTCTATCAAAATATGTATATCTTTAGTGCATATAAAGTTATGAGAATTGTGTTGTATGTTTGTCACTAATACATGCTGTAGTTGCGGAATCATTCAGATCTTAGCTCCCCAGAGGCAACAGCAAGGAAAGTAACCAACACCCAGGCACGGTATAATCCAGCAAAGGAGCTACAATTCAATAACTCATCTACATGAGGCCACACCAGGGGAATTGCTCAACCTTGCCTGGAAACTCAGCAATGCCCCCAGACATGCCTGGACTTGTGCTCCCCAAGCACATAGGACTGAAGGTATAAAACAGACACAGTGGCCCCATGCTGGGCCTTTCTCCTTCACGTACCTACGTTGCAAGCAAGAAGGACACTCTGAAGACTTCAACTGGGGACTGGCCCAGATTTGAAGGGTGAAGTCTGTGTACTATGAACTGCAATATCCAGTGGAATAAGAAAAACTGCTTAATCTAGATGTTGCCCAGTCTAATAGGTTTGAGAGTTTAAACTGTGTGCTTATATTTTCTTTTGGTAACTAACTCTGACTTTTTGCCTATTACTTAATATCACTTAAATATCTATCTTTTTAGTCAATACGTTTGTTTTACTGTTTATCTTTACCAGAGAGTTTGCCTGCACCCTGGGGAACCCATCACAGCGGGGTGCTGCAGAGCCATGCTTGAGAGATAGCCAACCCTGTTACAGGGCCTGGGCACATCAACCTCTCTCATAGCCTCATTCCCTTGAGAGTCAGTATTCATGATGCTAAAGAGTTTTCTGGTCCTGCCAATGCCCTCCCACAGCTCTGTGCTCCTGGTAGGCATAGGGCCCCTGATTACTCATTCTCTTGGGAATGGGCTCCTGGAAACACATGGATTCTCTGGACCTGCCAGACCTCTCTGCATTCCAAGAGATGGGCTCCCCATCTCCATGTTGTGTGTGGGCCAGCTGATAGTTCAGCATGGCAGAAGCAGAGACCCTCTTAGAAGAGGAATCATAAAGTTATTCTATACTGTACTAAGTGACCACTGCACCTTCCCATGTCATGGGGAAAATGGATTGAAAGTCTGCTGCCAAATGCAAAATTTGTTCTTAAGCCTTGCCAGATGGTTTAAGATTCAAAAAGTAATTGAAAACTCAGTTACCTACCCATTTTCAGTAGCACTAACCACATATGGTTGTTTCTCAAAGTCTCTTGCTTTCGCCAAGCATGTTACTGAAGCAGTATGACCAAAGAGAATTTCTTTAGATGAAATCTAGGAGAGCAATGCAGTTATTTCACTTAACTAAAACAGTACTTTTCTGTATAAATCATCAAGTAATCCAAAGTTAAGAAACACCTTCATTATTAATTTTATTACTGACTGGTAAACAGTACACATTGTATTCCTACATAAGGCCAGATTTTGCCCAGCAGCTCCAAGGATGCACAAGCAGAGAAGTGTGTAAGCAGCACTTGCCTTTTTCACCCCTGCACACAGCAAGGTACAACTGTAGTCCCTGTGATCACTGTGGTATAAAGACTGCCCATTTTGAGTGGCTTCTGGTGTGCAAGATGCTCCAAAAGAATCAAAACAGGACAGCCCCAGCCCTGCCACCCAGTACACATGGGATAGCAGAAGTGGCTGAGTGCACTAAGGGTCTGATCCAGCAAAGCACTTAAGCAATAGGCTTCACTAAATCCAAAGGACCTATATTTTGATGGGCAAAAAAAAAAAAAAGAGTATATTTTTCAATTAAGTTAACTTAACTTAATTGGAAAGCCCCATTAAGATGCCAGCAAACATGGTCTGAAGCCATGTTAGCCTAATATTATTGAAAAGCCTGTTAAGATGCTAATTAACTCGTTTGAAAAAGGCATGCTCATCGGTACACCTGCAAGCTGTGGGAGGAAATCTGCCTCAACTCCCACCGGCAAGGTGCAACTTCGCAACACCCCAACCTGCGTCTGTTTGTAAATGGCATGCTTGAGCCCAAATGAAGAAGAAGCAAGAGCATGCTTGAGAACACAGCAGAATCAAAGCCATATGAATGATGGGTTACAGTAAATACACATTTTTGCTACAAAATTACATCACTGATGTGTTTTACACTTCATCTCACTTGGTCTTCATCTTTCCTCAAACAGTTCATTTGTTCATTCACAGAATGTAAGTCTTTCCATTTCTCTTAATTCTTTTATTCCTATCAACCATATTTCTATAATGGTATCTTCTCTGGAACTAGAGAACCACACTTTGCCACTGATTTTAAAGAAGAACTCTCCAGGACAGGACCCATCATAATTATACAGATTTACTAACTGCCATCATCTGCTGCACTGGATCTCAAACTGTGGTCCATGGCTCACTAATTGTCCATGGAACACTCAAAGAGGCCTGCAAAGAACTGGCTGCTCCTGTGAGATTTACATTTTATTTTCACATTTATTATGTTGGTTAATTCCTTTTCTCCAACAAAAAGACCCACACACATTATCTTTTACATTAATCGCAACTGAGTTACATATAGTCTATTAATAATAAAAAGGTGAAACTCCAACAGGTTATTTGACAGACAACGCCACAGTGGTCACAAACCTTTAATTCCGATGAGAGATTCCAAAGACATATTTGCCCCTCTTGACTTCCTGTAACAACAGTCTTCTGGTCATCTGTAATCATTATGGCAGTGATGCTGTGAGAGGGTGCTTTTTTCCCCCACAGTGCCACAGCTGGCACTGAGGTCTTCATAGTGAACAAAACCTGAAAATAAAAAGAGGGTAAAATAGTTCCAAGTAACACAAAATATGAAAAATATAATCCCAAACATTTCAAAGGGGTGATCACATGTTACTGTTCAAGGAGCATAAACTGAGATTTTGAGAGTCAGGTAACTGAACAATGATTGGTTGCTCTTGCTATTACAATACTACTTTCTCATTATTGCCACCTAGTTATAAAAGATTAAGAATATTTTGGGAACAATATGGTTTAAGACCACTGCAACGAATACGATTAATTTAATTTAGATTAATATGATGACATTTCCAAAAACAAAAAAACTACTCAAGTCATGGTTGTCCAAGCAGCTTTCCCCATAACCACTCTCTGAGATTTTCTATTTGGGGAGAGTTTGAGTTCCAAAACTGTGCTTTAACTCCCTTTGTTTGGGTTTGGTTTTTTTGCCTCGTGCTGGCTCAACTTGCTGGCCTAATTCTTTTCTTGTGTAGCTTCCATGGGTCAAAAATCTTGAGGAACAACGGCTATCTCATATTCACGTAGTGACTTTTTCACCATACTTTTTGCTGTTCAGGTTACTATGCTCTGAAAACTAATTGAAGTCTGGAGTGCTCCCATTAATGTCAACTGCAAAACTCCCTTTGTCTTCAAAATAAATAAGACAGAGATCTGAATATGGTTTGCTACATTGCCTAACTTGTCTAAAAAACATGGATCTTCAAATATTTCCCATTGTTAGGATTCTTCTAGGTAGTAAATCATGTGCCCGACAAGTATGTCTTCTCCTGGTCATATCATGTGAAATGATTGTTGAAAGGGGGAACAGAGAGGTGTTTGAGTGCTGGATTTTGCACCTTCAAATGTAAGGTTTTTTGCACAGGAACACATACACACGTTTTAACATAAAGTTGATTATCTACCTATCATTATTTGGTTGCTCGTGCCAGAACCTTAAAAGGGCACTGTAAACTACAGTTTTAGAATTTGACTTCTAAAACTTTATTTTTAATTCTCTGTGAACTTATATAAAATATTTTTCCTATCCATTTTGTGCTTATCCACTTAGCAATCACTGAAGTTTTACTTTTTCTTTCATTTCTTCTACAAAGTAAACATCATATCAGCTTAACTAGGAATATTCTTTTAACAGCAAAGCAAGCAGGAGGAGTTCAGTGTTTCTGTAGGTCCTATAAAAATGGGAGCTACTAATTTAACAATTTTAGAATAGGTCAAATTTTGGATCTGAGGATTTAAGAGTGTCCCTACTATCTAAATTCAGTGGGATGTATTTAACACTTCGTGCTGTGCTTCCTTCTGATGACGTTTTACAGTAGTTTGCACTCACTTTGCACAGTTATAAAATATTATACTGGCACAAGGAAGTGGAAAATCAGAACCAGTATTTTTACCAGGATATTTGATACTATACAAGTCAAGAATAACAAAAGAGTGTCAAAACCCAGCTAAAATTGTAACAAGACTCTAGAAAAGACTGGTAGAAAACAGATTTATTTATACATTTTTTTTGTTGTGGACAGGCTGCTATGGATGAAGAACCATCCACTGTCTATTACCAAACTATTGCAGAAGACAAAATATTACAATTAGAAAGGAGAGTAGGTTAAATTTGAAATTTTATGAAAATATTTTGTACTTGTCTTTTTGTACTGTAGCCTCTCTAAGTATAAAAGATCCATAGAAGGCACAGAATTAATGTAATATTCTTTAGTTGTTATTTTTCCTCTGCTGGTCGAATGTCTTTTTCAGATCTGATTCACAAAACACACAGCTAAAGAAGACATTCCATTTTGCATAACAGTTATCCTGTTAGAATGTGTTGCTTTTGAGAGTTTTTTAGAAATACTGTGTACACATATACACTTTGTCTGACAGCATTTGGCTTTATCAAAGTTATTTTGTTATGAGGATGCACCTAAAGCAAAATTTCTTATATTTTATCAACAGATGTTTATCAGAGTATACCTTTTAAAAGGTATAATCTGTTTCCACAAAGTCAAATACCGCCAGAGGCATATCTGGGCTACATGTAGCTTATCAGCAGCACGCGTTAAATTCCACCAGCTCTGTCCACTCAAGCATGTCTGATTCTTGGTATTAACCCATAACCCGACTCTCAATCAAGCTTCTTTCAATGCTAGGAAGTGACTCAGCTTGGATCCATAATAAATATATTAAACTTTGACCAAAAATGTATAAAGAATCAGAAAAAAAAAGTTAGTTGTTTGGGGAAGTGAGAGGTAGGAACTGTAATATATACCTTAATATTGCAACAATGCACTGGCAAAACCCTGAAGTTCAGATATTCAGTGAAGAAATTCAAAATACTCATGTACCAACACCATGTTAGCAAATGCAGTTAACAACCAATTAAAAATATAGAAACTATGATTAAAAGGCTATACACGTTTTCTATCAATCAAGACATTTGGGCCTGATTCTTAGTTATATTAGGGCCCTTTTCTGCCACTCTTGCAGCAGAAGAGGACTTACTGGGTATGGAAATGGCCCTCTGAGAATATTGCTGGAACATGGAGCCTCCTCAGCTGGTGCAGAGATAGCAAAGGGGCTATGCACCAATCTGTCTTCCAGAACTAAGGCAGACGGCAGGAACAGGTGAAGGTGTTTAGGGAAGCAGGCCAGAGCCCACTGCATTTAAGCTATTCAGTTTCTCCTAGGCCTCACTGGGATCAATGAGAAGCAGAGTGTATGTCAGAGTAGCCCTGAGGCCAGCAAGTATGTGAAAGAGCCTGGAAATTCTGAAATGAGCCTGATGGGATGGCTGACAAATGTTATCTCCTAGGCCAGGACCAGACTCATAGACTTTAAGGTCAGAAAGGACCATCATGATCACCTAGTCTGACCTCCTACACAAGCTTTCAGATGCAAAGGTGACTTACAGACACCTTTACACTCCTGCCCCAAACATAGGAACAGACTACCTGAGAATTAGATGTCATTATATAATTCTCAAAGATAAGAATCTTAACTCTCTAAAGCTCTCTTGATGAGAAGTCTATGGGTGTCAAGAAAAAAAACTGACTCCTGTCATTCCCTGAGGAGAACTATTTCCCTCCCCCATCCTGTTCCCTGTCCACAGCCTAATAAACTCCTTCCTTTGTCCTCCCAATGGATCATCATGATTACGCTGCCCAGAAGTCTCCTCTCAAATGGCTATCTCACCATCTTACACCAAGCTACAAGCCAGAGCTTCCCCTCCTCTGGCTTGCCTAGTGACCATGTCTTGCCTCCCTTGCTGGTTCTAGGGAGGCCTTAGCAACAGTGTGTTCTACAGAAGTGCAACACAGAACATTATTAACCTGGAAAAACTGTGTCATGAGTAAAGTACAGATCATATAATTTAGAGGATTTCAGCAATTTTACTTTTGCAATTCTGGATCATTTGCACAGAATCTAAACTGTAATTAAAAACCGAAGGCTCCCCTTATGCAGGCAGAGCAAGACCACTGGAAGCTAGGGTAGGGGCTTTGAGGAACCAGAGAGCAGGTGGGTCACGCTGTCCTGGTATGGATGTCAAATAGAAATAAATTCATGACTCCATCTCCTGATTGATTTTTCTTTATGGACGGGGAATACCAGCAAAAAAGATGTGGGAATGACCAGGAAGTCTCAACACTGAGCAGAGAGGAGAGGGCTGAGTCACACCATGTAGAGGTAGTTGCCACATGGGACTGGAGCTTGCTTTCTCTGTAGAACCCCAAGATCCGTAAGGTAAGCCAACCATAGCCCACCTCTTCCCCTACCCCTTTGGTCCCTGCCCTAAGGAAAGCATTTGTCAACAACAGACTTGCTGGGCAAGTCACACGTCTCTGTGCTTCAGTTTTCCATTTCTAAAATTAGAATAACAACACTCCCCTGGCTCAAAGAAGCAGTCTGAGGATAAATTTATTAGTGTCCATGAGATGCTCAGATGCTAAGTAGAAAACCTAAAAACATGCAGAGAGATATGAAATGTAAAAACTAAGCTTACACCCTGTTGAAGTCAATAACAACTCCCCCCAGTTAACTTTTGTATTGAGTTTCCTATTGGAATCCTTCAAAGAGCAGTATATCATTTATTGATAAAGAATAAATGATCCCCCTAATTGTGAACATAGACGTCAGAGCACACCGTTTCTGATATGTATCATCCTCTGAATGATGAATCTCCCTCTCCAGGAGTTGCTGCCTCAACAAGTTGGTGCAATGAAAAATTGATTCTGACAGATGCCTCATTCCAGACGTTACAGGCCGTCATTCAACATGTGACTAAAAGTTCCTCAAGTAGAATTTATATAGCGTATAAAAAACTTCAGAGAGAACTCTGCAGGTAGTACAGTGAATCTACCACCTACCAGAAAAAAATCTTTGCAGGTTTACGTTTCTAATTATTGTATCTTTGCTAGAACTTCATATTCTTGGATTACACATGTACTTTATTTGTTGTTAAAATATGTTAAGAAAGAAATTCATATTAATAAATTCCACAGCTTTCAGAAACTAATTAATTGCAGCCAGAAAATACATTTCATTACCACAGGTGCAAAAACAAATGCATACTACAGACGTGTGGTCAACAACAATAAAAGAATTGAGATGTGAAAGACTTACTGCTTTTATTAGGTCAACAATCGAACTATTTGAGGAAAGATGGGATAAGTGGGTTGAACTGCATGTGTGCTTCCTCTCAGGCTTGCAAAATTCTACTTACCCAGCGAGACTAATATATTTTTGATAGGTGAGTAAAATATCATTAGTTTTTTTTCCATGAGCTGCCTCATCATGGTAAAATGTAAGGTAGTAAATTTTAAGGCACAGGCTGGAAAATTTTCATGACAGTTTTGTAAGGCTGCTGTAACCAAGAACCTATTTTATTTCCATGTTTCTGTTCTGTTCCTTGGCTTTTTTTTCCTGACACCTCTGTTTTACTGCTTATGTTAAAAAAATTAATGGTCCTGTCAACAATTTTGTTTATCTTTAATAAATAAAATTAGTTACTTTCAATA